CGGGTGGCTAACTCCTCAAATGTTCGTGGTTTAATGCCTTGAAGGATGTAGTGTAGTCCCCACTGCATGCCTTGAACGCACATCTCAATGGCAGAGATTTCAGAAAGCCGATCTTTACAATCCAGACTTAAGGAGCGCCATCTATTTATGTAGTTGATGACAGGTTCATCTCTCCACTGTTTCGTACTGGTCAGCTCTAGCATGCTTACAGTACGACGAGTGCTATAGAAACGGTTGAGGAATTCCCTTTCTAGCTGGTCCCAACTGTTGATAGACTCGGGTTCGAGGTCGGTGTACCAGTCAAAAGCGTTACTTTTCAGCGAACGTACGAACTGTTTGACAAGGTAGTCTCCCTCTGTCCCAGCATTGTTGCAAGTTTCAATGAAATGGGCGACATGTTGCTTCGGGTTGCCTTTTCCATCGAACTGCATGAATTTTGGGGGCTGATAACCCCTTGGCATCTTCAAAGCATCAATCTTCTTGGAGTAAGGCTTTGAGTACAGTACGGAGTCATGCGAGCTTCCTTCGTACTGTGTCTTGACAGTGCTTGCGATCATCTCCTGTAGCTGCTGGATAGAGAGAGATTCCATGAACGCCGTTGCTTGGTCTAGCTTCAGCTTCTCTTCGACTTTCTCCACTGGAGGCTCCTCTTCTTCGTCGACTTCTTTCTTTAATAGGCCAACATTTGGGTCGACTTTCACGTCGGGCAGCGCATCTAGTTGGTTGACAAGTGCGGCAATCTGCAAGTCCTTCTCTTCCACAGTCTGTGTAAGCTTTGCAATTGCTTCGCTCATTTGAGCCAGTTGTTCTTCAACAGAGGTGACGCCGATGGTCATGACTTGTGCAACCAATAGACATGACTTTCCTTCAGACATCCATAGTGCTGATGAAGAACCCCATTGGCCATTTTGGGGTGTCATCTTGTGTGCCTCAATAGCATGCTTTGGTGCCCCCATCAAGGTCAGGTGGATGACCGACTCGCGCCTTTGATGCTGCTCTTGCTTGCTTAGCAGTACCAACTTTGCAGCGGCATGTTGAGAAGTGGTTGTGGCACCAATGGATGCTCCATTTGCGGCGGAAGTGCTTATGCTTCTTCCCTTGGTGGTTGCAAGAACGGCTTGTCCCTTGCTTGATGCCATTGATTTTGGAGGTGTGCTTTGGTTGTTGTCAACTCCGTAACCATGCTCCTTCAACTTCTTTTGAGTTTTGGTGAGGTCACGATCTTTGTCGTTGACGGTGTTTGAAACCTTCTTTCCAAGATTTGAAGAGGAAGCAAAGTCATGCCTAGCCTTTGACATGAGTTCGTAGGCATTTGGGTTAAAGCCTTCTTCGGTCTTCTTAGTTGGAAGAGAGCTTGGTTTCACTTTGACGCCATGTTGCGCCTCCAGACGGTTGATGAGTCCGGCGGTTTGCAAGTTTTTCTCCTCTGCAGTCTTTAGCAGCCTTGCAATTGTTTCCTTCATCTGAACCAACTGTTTTTCAATGGAGGTAGTGCCGATAGTCATGACTTGTTCTTTGTTTGAAGCCATGGACTGTGCTTAAATATCTCAAACGGAGACAGAGATGAGAGGTAGAGATGGTCCCACCGGGCGTGCCAAATTTGTGAACACGAAAGATTCCTTGAAACAAGAAACCAGAATAACGTGTACAAAATAATATTTTTGTGTTTATGATTTTGGGGTTACGATCTCTCTCTAATTTGGTCCTCTGATTCTATCTTCGTAAGGTGTAGGTTTGTGGATGAGTTGTTGATCCAAAGGGCCGTCGGGGCTTGATCTAAGGATGAACAGTTGATGAACAGATCTTCAAGGGGCGTTGGGCTTGATCTTGAAGAATGAGTGTATGGATTTCTTCAAGGGGCTTTTGGGCTTGATCTTGAAGGTTGATGGATGAGCAGATCTTCAAGGGCTTTTGGGCTTAGTCTTGAAGAACGATTGGATGTGTGGATTTGTTTGTGTTGTTGATCCAAGGGGCCGTTGGGGCTTGATCTTAGGATGAACGATGAACACTTTCTTCAAGGGCCGTCGGGGCTTGATCTTGAAAGAGGATTTGACGAAGAACGAAGAGTGCTTTCTTGATCCTTCGGAATTCTTGGGAATTTGGATGCTCGAGAGCTTTGGAGTTTCAAAGCTTCAAGGATTTGGGGAATTCTCTTCCAATTTGGGAGTAGAGAAATGTATTTGTGAATTCCTTGATGCTTGATACCTTGATGGAGAAGCCTATTTATAGGCTTTGAGAATGAATCACCACCACAAAATATTTTTTTCCTTTCCAAGCACCATTGCCTAATTTTCCCACTTAATGCAATATTGAAATTGAAGTGGTGTAACTTATGGCCTAATTTCCCACTTAATACCATTTTAAACTTGAAGTGGTCTAACTTATGGCCTAATTTCCCACTTAATGCAATATTGAAATTGAAGTGGTGTAACTTATGGCCTAATTTCCCACTTAATACCATTTTAAACTTGAAATGTGTATGCTTTGTCATTGTCCAAATGAGAAAAACTTGCTTTGATCCGTAATGGATTGAAGTGTGCTTACCTTGTCATTGCCCAAATTGAGAAGAAAAACCTTGTTTAATCATCCAAGGGTATTTCTTCCTATTTTGTTGAGTCACATGCCATGTGTACAATTTGTACGACACGTGGCGTATGCCATGTATGCCTTGACACGTCAAAACTTTAATGCGTTGGGTGAACATTTGTTTTACTGAAATTTCGATGTCTACAATTGTGCACTTCAAATTTTATCATTTCCGATGTAGTTAACATTTTGCACGTACTTTTTATGTTTGTAGGATGCCCCCTTAATCTGCATCATTTGAGTTATCAAAAGGAAATTGCATCATTAATTTGAACATCCTTGTACGTTCATAGGATGACTCATATTTTGGGGAAATTCTTCACGTTGCAGCACATGATTGGTGCATACTGCATACACGAAATTGATGGATTGCCTGCCTAATTGTTGTTCTGATTAGTTTTGTGTCTGCTGAAACTTATATTATACCGACACATTAGACAGGTCAAATACAAAAGTATGATGAGACTGATAAGGGTAAATAAATTAACAAGAAATAATCCTGACAAAAAATAAAAAATAATAATAATAACAAGAAATAATTAAAGGAGGAGTACTGGCCTTGCGGAAGATTTCCAAAGAATGGCTGCCGTGGCACTTGGGGCACATTATAAATTTTAGAGAGATTCCGAGTTCCGATGCCATATATTAGGCACGTTTGATGACCTAACTAGTTCCTAATCACCCCAGTTCCTAGTTTGATATTGTTATGATTTGAAAAAAAACTATTTTTGTTGTACTATGAGAATAAGCAGATGTGAAATAAAACAATAGAGTATTTGGTAAACATTTTTGTAAAAGTGCTTTTGGAAAAGAAAAAAAATTAATATTATAATGTTTGATAAACTTTATGTAAAACAGTTATGACTGTGTAAAATGACCAAAAAATGTATAATACTATATGTGCTATTAATTTAATTTTCTTAACAAATAAAGGTGATTGACTAAATATACTTTATTTTTAAAAGAAAAATATTTATAAACTTTATTTTAAACATATAATCCAACATTTAACAAGAAATCATAATCCAACGTTTAACAAGAAATCATAATCCAACATTCAACATATAATCCAACATTTATGTTGCTTCACGTTTTCAGCTTTTTTTCAAAGCTCATTTTTGCTGCTTCACGTTTTCAGTTTTTTTTTCATCCAAAACTGTGAAAATAAGTTGTTTTAAGTGTTTACCAAATACTTTTTTGAATTCAACTTTTTTTTATACTCTTTTTTTATAAAAACACCTTAGTACTAAATCAGTATTTAATCCTGAAGAAACTGAAGAGGGAAAAAGGAGAACAAAAAACTAGTAAAGGGGCACCGTCCCATTTTCTCTTAAAGCATCTTCGATTCCTCCTCGTTTCTTGTTGGCTTTCATAAATCCAGGTCAACCTCCTCAACATACAAGTTGTAACACAGATTAAAATTCAGCCCAACGATAGGATATGATCTCGGAACCTTCTTTCCTTAAACGAATCAATACTTTCCATATAAACAAACTAATCACTAATTAATCCAATTTGAATTGTTAGTTCCAATGATGGAATAGTTCAATTTTATGTATTATTTAATTGAAGTATGCGCATATGTGGATTCCAAAAGTTCTACGTGCCACGTGCCGATGTCACTTTTGAAAAATTGAAATTTTGTTTAACTGGGTAAGGTTGTAGCCTTCAAGGCCAATTAGACAGCACACTTGTCTATGAACCTGCCGAGAAGAGTCGGATCAATCCGAGCGAAGAGCCGCCTCTTATGTAATGTCAACTTCAACAATTCAGAGTTTCAGACACCAAGGCGATAATTTTACGAGGAGCAATGGTTACGCTACAGTAATGAGCATAACATGACCGTAAAACAACCGCGAATTCACAAATAGCCAGTCCACTATGGGCCTAGTTCGGCAAATGAGTCGTATTTGTTGTGTGTTTTTATTTTTTATTTTTTTATGTCATATTAATTATCTTAATAGATCATATTATGTTAAATCTATAATCTTTAATGAATTTTTAACAGATGATCCAATAATGATTCGTCCAATCGTATTGTTTAGTGGCGAGTTAATGGATCAACAAAAAATTACTATACTCTAGATCTAATAATATACATCTTATCGAATTTTTAACAAATGATCCTATAAAGACCTAAAACGTTAACGCGTTTTTAAATAGTTACCCAAATACAACACAACCCATTTACAGGTTGATTCAAAATCTATTATTTTCTTGTCGTTTTATATCTGATTAACGCATCATGTACATTGCCAGGTCTACATGGGCCAAATCTGCCGTCTAATTTGACTGTTGTTATCCAAATTGTAGCGAAAAGCCCTGGGCTTTGACGGGTTTTGGTCGATTAAAGCCCCAAAATATCTTACAAGCGTTTATAAAATACAAGTCCAAGGAGAAAACAGAGAGAGAAAAAAACCCAACAAAATTGCCCAAATTCGCAGCCTACAAGTTATAAGATGAGTACACAACAAGAAGGAGAAGACGTGCAATCTTTCATCTACTTGCCTTTCTATATACATGTGGTCTCCAAAGAACAAGTGAAAGAGGACACACAACCCGCTGTGGAAGGACCGCAAAAGAAATCAAACACTCGAAAGAATTCTTATCATCTTTGTCCTTCCAGAATTTTCTTATCGTCTTTGTCCTTGCTAATAAAATGTAAAGAACCCCTCACCGTACATCCCCAAGTTTGGTACATGGAGAGATGAGCCGGCACCTGAATCTCTGCCAATCCAGGAATTAGATTCGAGACGCGTTCTTTTCGAGCATCCAGATTGTTCGAAAGCCGCCGGTTGTCCACAGAAGAAAGAGGAAGGAGGAGTCTCGAATCCTTTGACCATCTCCATGAACATTGCTTGCAGGTCCTCCATGGTATAACTCTTTGCCTCTCTTCTGGATTCCGCCATCAGAGACACCATTTCTTGCACAAAATCACTGAACCCCTGCATTCCGCATAAAAAATTACAGAGCAACGGACGAAATCAGACACAATCCAATACGCCATCCAAAATGTTTATAAATAAAATAAAAAATCAACAAACAAGTACCCACCTCGTCCTCTTCGTCGTCATCGGGATCGTACAGGCCAACATCGTACATACTTCGTTTTCTCTGGTCCGATAACACTGCATCAAAGCGAAAACAACGAACAACACACACGCTGTTAACACTGTCATCTTGTTTAATATTATGAAAAATAATTAATAATTAATTCAAATAAATTTCCAAAAAACAACCCGATATTTTTAATTTTATGTATATTATACCTGAATAGGCTTCTTGAATTTGCTGGAATTTCCGCTTGGCTTCACCCAACAAAGAAGGGGTTCTTGTCCACCTGTCCGGATGCCATTTCTGCACCCAAAACCGAGTTGACCAATACAAACCATCAAATCTATGCTCCTTTCATAAATTTTCACCAGAATTCGATAAGAAACAATCTTTCAAAAGAAAGTAAACCAACTCAATATTCTACTATCTCAACTAGGTTGAGAATTCGAGCTCGGATGCATACGAAAACAACATCCGCAAGCCAATGCTGTTACGCCAGCGGGATACAGGGTTTTAGACAAGACTAAAAAGAGATTATATTAGATAAAGTTTACTCACCATCGCTAGCTTGCGATATGCACGCCTTATCTCTTCCACGGAAGACCCCGAGCCGACACCAAGAACACTGTAATAAGAAGGAGACCCCTGAATTCGATCACCCTCCATCTTCAACAAAACCAAACTCTCGGAACTTCTTCAAACCAAATTCTCAGTCCACAAAATAATCACATCAGAAGCTTGCTGATCTCGAAAATTCTGGTGCCCAGACGACCCTTGCAATACAACGAATTACGAGGGAAAGGCGGTGGTTGCGTGATTTATGATGCGGTCGCAGGTCGGTTATACATGATATATAGGAGAAGACGGAACAAAATATCTGGTGGGCTTTTGATTTTTAACTCAGGTTCGCCATCCGGAATGTTCCTGAAACATCCTGTATGATTAACGTGGAAGTCTCTTTGGTGGTCGTACTGTAGATATTTTTCAGTTTCCTGATTTAGTAGGTGCTCAGTTTAGATACGGATTTGTATACCGGATGTTATCCAGTGTCCAGCTGACACCTGGAAGCTAATGCTTTCAATATACGCTTTGCAGACTTGGGCTTGCTGTTTGGATCCATAAGTTTTATCGAAAGGCCCATCAACCTTTCTATTTGAATCCAACGGCAGAGTCGATGTTTCCAACTTTCAATCACTCAAGTTCCAACAAAACCATGGCATCGAAACCATCGTTAATCTCCGCCGTTCTGATCATCTTGGTCGGCCCAATCCCAAACCTGACCCAGAGAGCCCCATCTCATCAAATTCACATTTTGCGATAATCGAATATAAAACTATTCAAATAAATATCACTAGACCGTAGTATTAAGTAGTTGTTTTTTGAAGGCTTTATTTTCCCTTGTTTTTCTTTTTGTTTGTTTCATTTTGTAGATTACTATTTTAAATTTTTAACACTTGTTTGCTCGTTTGATCAAATAGAATAAATTAGTTTTAGGATTAAGTACTTAAACCCTTAAATATTTTAGTTTTGTTTCAAATTGGTCTCAACTTTTTTAAACATTTCAAACAATTACCTAACCTATTGAAAATGTCACATATGCTAAGCCCCAATTAATTCTTGTTAAATAAACTAGTACTTTGTCTCTAGCATCAGTAGAAGGTCATGGAAGCATGAACTCTACCAAGTAATGGTCACCACTGCTAGTGGTGAAACCAGGAATTCTCGAGGGGAGAGGTGAACTTATATGCGTGCAAGGTTAAAGAAAAATGGCAACAAGCGAATCTTTTTATATAGTAATGTCTTCCATAATTAATCAATACAAATAAATTATAGTTGTTGCCGGCAAGGTTTCATGTCATGAAAACGTTGCATAATAAGCTCATTATCAGTAAAAGCAAATACATCTCTCTCAATGTAAACAATCATGTTATCATTCAACCATTGATCTCTCATTTTGTTGCGCAATGATGTTTTCACAATCTTCATAGCAGAAAAAGCTCTCTCCACAGAAGTGGTTGTAACCGTTAACACCGAAACTTATACACTAACATATAGCTTTCACACCTCTCGGTTCATTTTGTGAGATTTAGGTTAACAAGGTTCATTTTGGAGGTAGTATCTAAGAATTGCTTCGCGATAATTGGAGAATGATTTAAGCACTTTTTCTTATAGTATCGTTCCATGACGTAACTGTATAACGAAAGAAAAAAAAATCTTAGACTCTTAATCCTAGAGTAGACTATAGGGTAATATCTAATCAAATCACAAATTAATTAATCAATACTAACAATCATATGAATAATCAAGAATTCAATTTTTATTCTAAACCACAATTAAAAATTGAGTAAGTTAGCGGTTACTGCAATCAATTTTTATTACTAGACCATGTGTGATTCAAGTTCCTATAATACATATAATGTATGAATCCTCTTTTATGTACTTCAAAAAAAAAAAAAAATCAATAATCATAGTATTCATATGAATAATCTATAATTGATAACCATAAATTAAAAAAAAAATTAAAAATTTACCTCAATTGGAGTGGCTGGCTTGGTGTCTGGAGCTTGGTGGCCAACGGAACAAGGCTTTCTTGTGTTCAATTATGGGATTTAAGACAATTTTGAAAATTGAAATATGGAATAAAGGTCAGGGGATGTGATTTGTAATTTATGGGCAAGGGTGGGGGTAATAATTGAAATGGGTGGGAGGATTGGGATGGGGACCAGTGGTCCCTCTCTCTTTAATTATTATTTTTATTTGATTAACGCAAAACGACGTAGTTTACCAAACAAATTTTTTTTTTTTTACCAGGCCCAAAACGACGTCGTTTTGGCTTGGATTTAAAAGTTAAAAAAAAAAAGAACCTGCAAGCTCGCAATTCTCATATTCAAACCAGGAATCACCGTGGTTCCCAGATTCCTGCTGAACCAGAAGGGTTCAAGCCTTGCTCCTGCCTTTGTTTTCCTGCAAGCGAAGGAGCGGCCGCCCCTTTCGCTCATATGTAGCTTCACCATTGACAACCGCCTCTTTTAGGCTAGCACCTCCAAATCCAGCGCACAATCATAAACTCCACCTTACAACTTAAGCCGCCAACATAAAAAAGAAGGTCATGGAGGTTTCTGAAATGGTATGGACCGCCATGATGCGGCCACCACCATTTTCACTAACTACAAAGAAGAACTAACCTTTATTAGCCAAAAATCAGCGAATGAGGAAATCATATGAGCAGAAACAAGCTTATTGAAACCCTATATGAATTTTTAACTCTCTTCTTTGTTAGGAGATTTTCCGATCTTCATTTTTGTTTTCCATTTTATTCGTGAATTTGTTTATGTTTTTTTTTTCCCCATCTTCATGTCTTTTTTGAAGTTCTTTTTTTTTTTAATTTTTATTATTGTTGTAGTGTCCAAGTAAGCAAATAAGTGGAACTCATTGTTGCACATGTACATTTAATGAAAAAAAATTAACTGGGACTCATTGTTGTAGTGTCTAATTTAGAATGACACTAAAAGGTTGAAGGATTTTAGGTACTTAATCCTAAGTTTTATTTATCATACATTTGATCTTCCAAAATACAATGTCATTTCCAACGCAGTCCGGGACACCAAGTAAATACAAATAGTTGAAATATTTTTTTTCGAAGTGTCACAACACCAGTATCCCAACACGATGAAAAATCTTTCCTAAGGAAGGGAAGGTTTTCAACAAAAGACGCAACGAGTTGAAGAAGAAGACCGTAACCATCAGAACAATTCACCACTTGTATTTAAGCAAGTTACTTTTTTTTTTTTTTTTTTTTTGGAAAACTGAAAATATGCATAACCAAGGCCGGAGCCAAGAGTACAGGGAGGCCTCCAAGGAGGCAAAAACCAAGGAAAATACATACATAAAGCAGTGAAGAAGGGTACAAAGGCTAAAGAAATTGCACCATGTGCAAAGGCGTCGCCCCCTTCACTGCCAAAACAAAATTACGGAGGACACGAGAGCCCATCCTTGTTCAAAACATGCACCAATGAAGATGGGGATGGTTAACCCAAGTGGAACCTCACATCTACATATTACAACTCAACACCAAACGGTCCGCCGCCATGTTGGCCGATGTTGGAACCCAAGACCAGCGGCGCGTCTGAAATGAATCCCGAAGCCGCAATATTCTTGTCAACATAGGGAAAGCCTCCCAGCTGCCAGAGGATAAATCATTTACCAGACAAGATATGTTCTCCTTTGAGTCCGACTTAACTACAATCTTTTACAAACCCAGTGATCTAGCAAATTCACAACCATATAATAATGCAAGAGCCTCCGCCGTAGTGGCACTTAGAGCATTAATCTTCAGGTTCCTTGCCACCACAAACCTTCCTTCATCGTTTCTAGCAACGACCCCAACAATACCCTCGCCATTGGTAGCAGCCCAGCTTGCATCCACATTCAGTTTAGTAAATGGAGAACAGGGGGGAGACCAACGGACCAAGCACGAAGAGGTAGCCCTGCACAGGAATAAAGTTCCCCGTTGGTGTACGGGAAACCTCCAAAAAAAGCTCTAACCAAGGAAGAGAGAGACAAAATGACTTCTTGTGGTGTGATAACCGTTTGGTTATAGAGGTAGTTACACCTAGGCTTCCATATGTGCCAACAAGTGAAGGCTGCATAAGACAAGAGCCAATAGCTTCTTCCTTAGACCCCATATTAGAACTGATGAGAGAAGATAACCAGTTAGTCAAAGTCGAGATGTCAGCCCTATCCACTTTGTAATTTAGAAAACCACCAAACCAGATGGTTGCAACCCATAGGCATAAAAGAAGCAAGTGCTCAACAGATTCCTCACGAGCATTGCAGAAAGGGCATAGCGGAGTAAGTGAACATCGACGCCTATAAAGATCCTCCATTGTAGCCAACACTCGATTCAACACCCCCCACATAAAGCAGTGGATCTTCGCCCCCGGGGGGGGGGGGGGGGGGGGGTCTTCAACTTCCAAATGACCTTCCAAACGTGAGAAGTCGAGTAAGATGTGGAAGTAACCCTAGCCGCCATTGGCACCGCTCGGGAATGCACCTGGTGGTATCCTGACCTCACAGTGTAGACCCCGTTCTTATTCTCCGGCCACACCAACCTATCACTTCGCATTTGGTCACCAATGCTAGTGTCAATAATCGCCTTGCACTCCTCATCCGAAATAAAAGGCTTGAGAAAGTCAATATCCCAAGTCCTCGAAGGCCCACATATTAAAGAGCTCACACGCAAGTTCCTCGACACCAGCACATTACCTTGAGGAATAGGGTGCCCGAGAGGAAGAGACGGGATCCATCTGTCATGCCAAATTCGAACACTTTTCCCATTCATAACTTGCCAATGGACACCCCAAAGTAGGATATCACGCCCCACCAGCAGACTTGTCCATCCCTAAGAAGCCCTGGCCCCACGTTTAGCCTCCAGAAACAAGCAGTTAGGGAGTTTAACACACATTTTTAACCTCATTTGCTCCTCATGCCTTACAAAATTGTAAAGTATTAAGTTTGAAGTGCCTTTCCCTTGGGAAAAAAAACAAATTTAAATATTTAATTTGAAGCGGAAAGCGCTGAAAAATTGTCCAAATCGTTAACTAAAGAGGAAAAATAACCATGCACCCATAGGCCTTCGGTAGTGTTAACACTCGACTGTTTCGTTGACCCCAAAAGTTGGGCGATTATTTATCTGAAAACAACAATTACAATCTCAAGGGAGAATTACTTCGACAGGAGGTAGAGGTACAAGTAGGTTCCCTTGAGGATCCAGGGGCAGTGCTGGTGGCAATGTTTGAGGATTTTTCTCCTCCAATGATGGTGGTGGTGGTGGTGATGGGTATTCCTCTTTCCCGTCATTGGTTTTTGGCTTTGACAAACCAAAGTGTTCCCTTATCTTCTCTAACTTTTCAAAAATCTTCTTCCTGATCTCGGGATTGACAATGCGTGCTTCGGCAGGTTCTGTTGGAAGAAGAGTGAGTGATGCCAATGTCCCAACTGGCAAAGATAACATCACATCTCTTCGTGAAACTCCGAAGGTTTTTGGAGAGCCTGCTTTTTGTTTTCCCTCACTTCTCACCTGCAATATGAGGATCAAAGACGTTAAATAAAGAAGAGAAGTAATTGTTCCACAATCCATCGCGGTTTCAGTTTCAGTAAACGACGAAGCTAGAAGGTACTAACAATGGCAGTATTAGAGCAACCAACTTAGCCTACACCTCCAGGCCTTTTGACAATTAAGAATCAATCTGAAAGACCGAACAATTAAATCCGGCTTGTTACAATTAATCCCTATTAATTTGAGATCCATTTGTATCTGTGAACAGAAAAATTTATCAGTAGCTTAGACCCTTGGGAAGAAGACACTGAAGCTGGAGATGACAAAACAGATCATATGTTCGGTACTTTTACTCAGATCACCATGAATCCATCACGACAAGCTTGATCACAACAATTATTAAGCATAAATTAAGCATTTCTCCAATGGTTTACATTGTCGACAGAAAATAACTTGAGCAATGTGAACCACGCGTCAGCGATTACATAGTCAAAATCTTGGTAACCTTCTCCACCAAAAACATATGATTGGAGATTCAATGGATGATAAGTGTGATCATCTCTTCGTCTGAAACTCCGGATATGGAGATACAATGAAATCAAATGCCAAATTTGAAATACAAGGACTATTTCCCATGGTTTAACATCATGCTCTTAAATTGTTTCTTTATGGACAAAATTTATTAGATCAGCAGCTGCATAGTACTAATAACTGTAACTTATACAACCAACGATGTGAACACTGAAAACTTCCAAATATTTGGAAAAGATACGGTTAGTTTCAAACGGCACGGGACGATAGCTTCCCATAACAACTGCAATGCAGTTTGCACTCAATGATACAAATTGGTTATCCAACTTTGAACTAACCAACCGTTGCCCTGCAATTAAGTTGCGAATGCAGGTGCACGCTATATGCACCGGAGCTCTATAGCCTCACAGCTAACCCTCCCCATAACAAACATTAGGAGTTTAGGACAAGATATAAATCTGAACACACAACTTAAAGTTCACAGTTTAAGTACTAGTTCGATATTAAGGTGCTTTTATAAAAAATGGGTATAAAAAAAAAACTGAGCTAAACAAGAAGGTGTTTGGTAAACACTTAAAAACAGCTCATTTTCACAATTTTTTGTGAAAAAAAACTGAAAACGTGATGCAGCAAAAATGAGCTTATTCTCAAATCACAGCCGAAACAGTTTTTTTCTCAAAGCACGCAATTTCAAACCAGCCCTAAGTTTCTTCGCAAATTTTCGGAAATAAGGAACATAAACTAGAGTTACTACTGATTCATTACCCTGAAATTAGACATGCCATTGCCCTTGATCTGTTAAAAATTGAGTGAAATCTACATTTGAACTGATTCACATGTCAAATAATGTATGAACAAGAACTTCAAAAAAAAAAAACAAAAAAACAAATTAAATAAATAAAAAACAAAACTTGGTGAATTTTTGTTGCTGAAATGAGCTCGGACAAACAAGGTCAATCGATTCAGAGTTCAAATATTGATAATTAAACACAAAATAGATCAAAAGAAAAGGACTTAAAGCAGCAAATTGAGTGAGTTGAAACAGTACAAGTAGCAACCTGAAGAGGAAGAGCTCTGTGCTTTGTGGTGGTGGTGGTTGTCACCGACATCGAGCGCTTCGTGGGCAACTGGGTTTCTCCGACCGCCGCCAAAGTAAGCGGACCGCCCACCAGATTGCTGCAACTAGACAATGCCATCTGTCTCTCCCCGGCAAAGATCAACGGTCTCAAGACTCCCAACTACTATTATTGTAGAGTTTGAAGGGGAAGAAGTCCGGAATCCAACTTAATTTTGGTTCTCAAGTTATTGGGCGTTGTGTAAAAGATTTCATTGATCCGGCCTGGTTGTAACTATGGGCTTTTGGTTTAAAGTCTAAATTGACATTGTCTTTGTTCTGTGTCTTTACCAGGGTATATAAAATTGATTGAAGAAAATTTTCAGTGTGTCAAGAACATATCACGGTTCTTCAAGTGTCATTATAGAAATGGTTTGATGCTTAAAATTTTTTTTTCAATCATTTGTATTATAATACTTGAAATACTAAGCCGTATTCTGAAAAAAAAATTTCTCTATTGAGTGGTGATATGCTCCCTCACTTTTACTATTTCGACACTAATTATATAAATCAAATACAAACTGGGTGGAAAAATATGACAGAAGGTACGACTCATTTTTTGTATTTGAAGAAATAGATTCCAAAACTTTTTTACAAGTCGTGGTACTTGTATTGTTGTCTTCGATCCCCACCCAGTCTGCCAGACATAACATTAAAAGCAGGTTAGTACAGTAACCTAAGGAAATGGGTCATCTTCAGATCTTTTTCACCAAATGCACAAATTCAGACTTTTAAAATTTAATCAAACGGCTAAAGTTATTATAACTTATAAAAGAGGTCTCAGCTTTTAGCCGTTAGATCAAAATTTAAGAGCCTGAATTGATGGATTTGGTGGAAGAGATCCGGAGAGGATCCCTTTTCGTAACTTAATATGGCATGTGACACTATTCACTTCTTTTTTTTTTTTTTTTTTTTCAACAAATGATATTATCTACATTAAAAGAGTGGAAGAGTGATTAAGCCTCACAATAGAAATATAAAATAACTTAATCATCAGATGATTCTGTGGCACCGATTTTGTCACACAATTTTTTACATATGTTTTTGTGGGGCCCATTTTATAATATATTGCAACGATCCAAACCGTTTATCTTTTAAGTCTTTCCTAAAAGATCATGTCTAACAAAAATCATCTAAATTTGAAACCATATGACTTTGGATCAAGAATTTAGAGTTTCTTTGTAGAATCGTATTCATTTATTCTCTTTACTACAAATGAGTGTCTTAATAGTTTTTTTATTTGTCTAAGCAAGGATGATCTATGAATGAGGTTCTAAAAGATAGACAGATCGAATGGTAAAAATTTATTACGTTCGTTTATTTATTTGAGTGATTGTTTGGATGAATGGTACACAACCACAATGAAAATGGAAATGACAACTCCTTGTGATTTGCCAAGAACATATTTGTTTGTATTTGTTGCATCGACCACCCAATCGGCCGCGATTCTCTTGCATTTGTTTGCATCTGACGAACCCATACACAATTAAACTGATAATTGATAAAGCAGACTCACTCATTTTCTATATTTGGGTATGGACGGGGGCATGCATGCACAAATCTTGATCGATTGGTACGCACTTCACTTTATTCACCCCTCAAAAGAAGATAGAAAAAGTTCAAATCAGAAATTTTATTTGTAAACCTGATAACAAATATTAATATGTTCATTTGTTATAAAAGTGAATCAGATCATTTGAGAACAAAATGAGTCTACAGCTGAGGTTAGTCCAGTGGTGAGAGTGTAGGGAGGGAAATGAGTAGGAGCTTCTACTTAAGATTTTTTATATTCAATTTGAATAATAAAGCTCTGTGCTTATGATCAGAACTGTTTATATTATAAATCATATTGCAAAGATTTTTTTTTTTTTTTTTTTTTTTTTTAGGAAACCTCGACGGTACGAGGGTAATTATATTGATAACGAAAAAAGAAGTTACACCTAGTGAGGGGGAACATAAACATAACCCCTCTAGAAATGAAAACAATAAAGATACAAGGAAAGGAGGCCCGGGGGACATAAAACTTAACCCCTTTAAAGCCAAACCTAAAGGTGTGACATACAAAACAAATCGAACAACATCACAAGGTTAAGAAAATAAAATAAGAAAGTGAGACAAACATGTATGTCAAAATGCACATTATTATTATTATTATTATTATTATTTTCTTTTCAAAATCATCTCCGCAAAAAATGAATTAAAACTAAAGTCGTTTAGTTAATGTATTATAGTAAATACTTATACAGTTCGTATTGCTTATACCAATTCAGTTAATCTGTTTTTATACAATTCGATGACTAATGACCTTAGTTTTAATTGATTTTTTTTTGCATAAGTTATTTTTATAGAGTAATTTATAATATGAATGGTTCCGATTATAAACATGAAGTTTTATAAATCAGGAATGAATGATTTTGAGTACGTAGGAACTTCTACTTTGAGTGTTCAATGATTGTGTACGTGCATATAATGATAAATTTTGATGAATACTATAATTTTCAAAATCGTATATAAATTTGGTTAGCGTAAAAGAGGTTTATGAATTTCACGTTATATAATGGTTAACAAATAAAAATACAAGAATTTCACATTATAATGTTGACAAAATTAAATTACTTATGTTCTACTTTTAATTACACTGATACAATTTATGATTAAAACCACCATAATATTCATCGTGTTCTGCAGATGATATATAGTAGTGGACCGTTTGACCCTTCGCTCTAAAATATTGGCATTCGTATCAAATGGAGCCTCTACGTAGTAACTGATCTTGATCCTCCATCGTCCCTTCACTGGCAGTTGAGCCTCCATCGTCACAAAGCACATGTTGGAATTTGTCAAGAAATATCATATTCATTTGAAGAAAGAAGGGAAAAGTTGATTAGATTAGACTAGCTAAGAAAGACTAAGTGAATTACCTGGACACGATCACCTTTTTGATGAAAGTTGATCTGCTTCCTAATTAATAAACTTCATATGAAAACATCTAGGTCAAGAATCAAGATGTTGAATTCCATGCAAACCCTTGTCAAATGAACAGTCTCTAATTGCTTTATACATCAGGTTCGTTGTCTGTTCGACCTATCAACATTCCAGGTAGCAGACTAGCTAGCTAGTCACTACTAGGTCTCTCCTAGCCACATTATTTTTCTAATTAAGGATGTACCTATGCGGCTTATGCTAATTATTCTGCAGTTCGAAAGCAAGAAAATGCTACTGTGGAAGCAACTTAATCTAATTTGGTAACTAGATTGGTTTCACATCCAATTTAATTAGTAGAGTGAGTTCAGGTATTTGATATTAAAGATGACTATATGTCTTGGAAAAACAAAAAGATCATAAGCCTGCCTACTTTTTGGACTGGGTTTGGGTGTGTAACCTACGTACACCTGAAAAATCGATACCGGGCAGCTGCAACTGCAAAAACTAGGGTAAAAGTCCAACGACTATCAAAGTTATGTTAGATTACCGCAAAAGGGATAGCCAGCCTATTACTATATTTTCAATTGCTTTCTTCTTCATATTTCGAAAGGAAAAGAAGGAGCCAAAAGATATACCTAAACCGCTTTCCAAATGAATTATCCAATAAATGCATAAACAGGATTAAGATTGGGAGTTTTAATTTACGTTCTTCTTTCTAGGTTATTGACTATTTTATGCATTAAAGTAACTCTATAATTTAGGTTACTGGGTCAAATACCAAGATGCTACTCAATATATAGTTATCTAATACGAAGCTGCCTTGTTTAATTTGTTAGATGGTCAATCAAGTTGATTAATCTATATAAAAAAAAAACACGATTACCTTCTAATTAGGGTTGTGAGGGGTACTATATACCTAGCCTTTACCGTAGTTTCAGGTCGAACAGACAACGAAACTAAGATTAATTTGCAAGGGACTGCTCATTTGACAAGCATAGCATGGAATCCACTCACCCGTATCATCAAAACATGTCAAATACATCCCTCGCCATCTTCGACCATGGTTGTTCAATATCTCTTTGGTTCCTGCAAAAAAAAAAAAAAAAAAAAAAAAACACGACAAACACGGTGATCTGGATTAAGTACATAAATCGAACTAAATAATAAGCAAAACTACCTATTCGGAAGAACGTATATATGTACACCAAAGCTTAAGAAGAGAGGAAGACAAGAACCTGATCTTTTGAGGAAGAGACCTAACTAGGAGGTGTAATATAGTTGCTGGGTTGAGCTTCATTTTATAGAGATAAGAAGGAACCTTGCTATCCTTTTTCAAGCTATCACAATTGTTAATTATTGGGTGAGCGTGCGAATTCTATACGGATCTTCATATCAGCTAAATCCTTACACGTGACAGATCATTGACTAACCGGTATTTAGTTGTTTATGTTTCCATCTCATTAAAAAATATTAATTATAGATAAGATCGATTGATGGAGGATCAATCGACGATGTAAACTGTAGCTGCTATTTTAGATTAGGATTTAGAACCAGAGTATACTAATCCGACATTCTTGTAAAAATGTTAAAGTGGTGGACCAGGTTGATGTCCCTACTTTATGGCAAGATGACCTTAATTAATTCATTAGCTTGCTTCACTTAAATTAGTAATTGTACACATACTATGTATGTGCTTATTAAAATTTTATAAATTTTACAAAGAAAGAAAATATAAAATGGCTGCTAAAACTTTATGGTGACGACCCTCAAAAGAGTTTTTGTTATTGAAAGGTTGTTCATATCTTTAGCAACTGTTTCTAGATAACTATTTCATCACTAAAAGTTCATTTTATTCTGCAGAAAAACGTAGAAGAGGAAATGGCAGCAACTAATATGGTTGCTAGGCGTTGAGGCATAATAAAATTATTTTGCGTGTAATTTACTATATTGCCTGTTATTTGTATTTTAGTTACTTTTCTTTAGTTTTGTTGACAAGGTTCATTTGGCATTTTCACTTTCTTTTGATTGACAAAATTTTTTTTGTGAATTGGTAATTTAGATTACGAACAAGGAGCTCGAACTCGTGTGGAAGGAAAATCACACCAGTACTTTAACTAATATGACTAAAATGAAGTCTGCATGATATAAACCTAATATTATTAGAAATCCATTTTTGGTTAATTGTAGGATGCATGCAAGATTAAATAAGCTTAATTTTGCCATGTGGATTCATCAATATATATAAAAATATTTGCGGTTGTGGAAGGGTACTAGGGCATTATTACAAAGGCCAAGCAACGTGGTTTATTGTTAATTCATATACTTAACGATGAACCTGCGTTCTCCACTGTCCATGCATGATGTCACATTATATATATATATATATATATATATATATGTGGGATATACTGCATTATACGTGTGCTTAATTTGAGCTAAATAAATAAGTACAGGTACTTATTTAACTAAATTTGTAGAGTACTCTCACTCTGCAAATAATCAAAAAGACAAAAAGCTTAACAAAGAAAAATTTCAGCCTCTGTATAATTAGGGCTTGGGAGATCATAGTTCCTACTATATATGTTGCTAGAAATCGAACCAAAAAATTATAACAAACTGTAGCACATGCATCCTCTGTAAACATCGCTATCAACGATAGGAAACTGGAGACGGTTTTACTTGTGTTAGTTTGATCATGAGCGTTTTAAACAAGTTTCGGTTAGAGTTAATTAACTGGATAGGCAACATATATAATTTGCTCATCAGAGATCTTGCCAGGCTTCAAGCTGATGGAGGTCTACTAGGTATACTCCTTTGTTAATAAGACTCGTCTCTAAGCAAATTTTCTTCTCTAAGTAAATCTTCTTTTCTGCAGATGATAACAAATAACAGTCCTCAAAATTTTGCAATAGTGCCGGCTCCGCAGGGAGATCTAGTTAATACACAAAATAGTTTTCCTAGAATCTCGGGCACCAAGATACATAAAAAGAGAGTTTATTTTTCACCAACTTTTCCTTTACCTTTGGTAGAAAACTACAAGTTGAAATTTAGACTTCAAAGAGATTTCAAGATAGATATTTTTCCAACATATTATATATGTAGCAAGGGAAGAGAAGTGAGTCCTCAGATAGCTTGGCCTTGCGGTGATCTAGGTATGAAAACTTCCTTTTCGCACATCATACGTTTTAGCTTTTTCCTACACAACATTATTATACATACCAATAAGGACGATACTTGCGTCCTTCATTTGCAATTGATGCATATACAAATATCATACATGAGACAAGTAGGCAGAGCAGCTCCGCACATGTGAGACCCTATATGTCTAGTTCGTCGCATTTGATCGATGTAAGTGAAGTCAGTTCTACACACCACTTTTCTTTTCAGGTCACGTACATTCTTCTTTTTTTAACTGTTGAATTGTACAAAGTACAAGAGAAAAGGGCTCAGAGCACATGTGATCTAATATCTTAGTGGATAGGTGTTGGGTTTATGCCAATGCGTTATGGGTTTGAAATTTCTCATTCTTTAAATTATTGTAATGGTTTCAAACTCTTCCATGTTCTAATAATAGTAAAAAAATTAAAAAGAAAGGATCATAACTAAAAAGGGATGTGCAGAAATCAATCCCACATCCTTCTTACCATATTGGCTTATGCCAGCTAAGACCAGATTGCTTGTAATTCATGTCATCATCCACGGGCTTTGCTTGGGTAATTGAAAACAAATCAAATCAGCTATTACATATATTTAGCTATAAGGGAAATAAAGATGAACGATAAGCTAATCTACATACTGAATTGTACAATTAGTTAAAAGTAGGGCTGAGAAGAACATACATGCTCCAACTTTGTAATAAGTTATAAGTATTTGTGAATAAAATTTAAGAATTGTTGTTAACACTCCAATATAGTCAGTTTATATAATTCAGTAGTAGCAATCAGTTCCCAATTTTTTTAAAGAAAGTCAATTTTTAGTTATTTTTATAAGTAAAGGATAGTTTATTCAACCAAAATATAAAAAAAAAATAAAAACACAGAACAATATACTTGAAAGAGAAAGAGAGATCGGACCCGGAATTTAAGCAGGATGCCTGCCATTTGCATGTGGGTGTGGTTGTAATGTGGTCCATTGGAAACTGACATATCAATATACAACTTGGAGAGAGAGAGTTAGCGATCGATGGAGGTGTCACATTCCATGCAAAACCTTGTCAAGCGAACAGTCCCTTGCATACACCTCATATTCATTGTCAGATCGACCTTGCATTTGCATACCCTATCAAATATACTTAACGTGGTTTTCCTGGCTCCATTTACTCACTACTCATATAAATAGGTCTCTCTAATTTGATCGATCACATGATCGTGTTGGGGCGAAATCAATGAACAAAGCGAGAGTCGCTTAACACTTTATAAGCATATATATAATGTTTTTAATTTTCTGATGTAGAATTCGCACTTTTAACAATCAATGCTAGCTGGTGAGACCAACGTAGTTAACAGTTCCTAAATTTTCGTTTATATATACCTGCTATGTTAAACAGGCTGCAATGCATTGTATACGTGTGTGTATGTATATAGATGATGAGAACACAAAGCCCATAAGCCACACACATAGAGAGAATGACATATGTCCAACTACGCACACAAGCCTTGTATTACTGATATGAAATAACATATTATATTTTGTGTGTGTGTGTGTATATAAGCTTCCTACTTCCAATTTGCCAAGAATAAGGGAAACAAAATGTTTGCGTAACTTGTACGTGACAGGGAAGTGTCGACATATATAAGTACAATATTGTCAAATTATTAGGTGAAAAAAAATAGTGAAGGCTAACTAGCTAGGTTCACTAAATTCACTCAATTTCACAGGAAAAAGATTCGCTCAATTTAGAAGCCCTAATTCTAATTAGTCATTATTTTTATAGGAAATTCTAATTAGTCTTTATCATTGTCAAATAATTATCATTAATTTATTGGGGAATTTTAATGAAACACTCCAAATACTGTTCATTTTTAACGAAAAATCACATTTTTACATTTTTGTGATACTATTTACTACACCTTTATTTGTTATTTTTCATTAAAACTATTTTATTTTATTTTTTAAATTCGTTGGCTTTCTTATATTGTTTGGATTAATGGATGGCGTACTGGTGCCCATGAAAACGGAACAATATACACTTAGGTCATGAACGGTCATGACCCTTTGTACTGCTCACAATAGAATATCAACACGTGTCTTTGTTGGAATACCAACACCTAACTCAAACTTATTATCATAAATTTACTATTCTAGTATCCAAACATCCTTCTTCTCCCTCACTGAGATATTGCCCAGCCTTCCATGTCTATAAACCAGCAAGCATTTCCAGGTCTCCCATCCCATCTCCTCCCCTAAACTCTCTCCATCGACCCTACACCCAATTAGCATCTTCTTTTCAGAGGAAGTCATGGAAGCACCATCGGAGTACTTCGCGGGAATAGCCACCACCTTCCCCCTCCCTGCTACCATGGCTGCCTTGGGATAGAAGATGACGGATAGAGGGCGGGGTCGATGGAGAGATATTGGAGGAAGAATTGGGGATGGGGTCGCCGGAGGGGAGAGCTTGGAGTAGGAGACGGGCCGGGGGAGAGGCTGGGGTCGAGGGAGGGCAGAGGCTGCAGGAGGTGAGGGTACGCTGCATTTACAGATTGATATACAATATAACATATAAAATATACATATATATGTACGCACACATTATTTATTTTAACCACATCAAGTTCTTGCAGATACAACTATTTCATATCTTTTCAGCAAATTATTATCAAGTTGAGATAAATAATATTTATGTGAGATCAAATAATTAACTTTAAAAACCTCGGCAGTACAAGGAATTTTAATGATCTACTCATCTTTATTATCAAACCTGTTAATGGTTTTGAGGCCTCCTCACTTCATCTTAGATGGAAATTAAAACTAGTGGTTTGAGATTAAGGAACCAATCCATTTCAACTCAAGCAGGAATTGCTGTAATAAATATACAATAAGCCATTTTCTAGCTAGCTATAGAGAGGGAATCAATCAAGTTATTTCTCCTGTAGTATGGTAAATTACTTAAACTGTATGGAGGAGGAGAGCTAGAGTTTTAGGGTAACTTGAAAGTATTACATCTTGAGCTAGAGTTTTAGAATATTAAACTGTATGGAGAAGTATTTTCCAACATCCTTCACCTTATTTTCACCTTGCCGTTGACCCTCAATCATGGAAAAGCATATGAACCAAAACTAATTGACAATAGATGGAGAGGCCAGAGATCTTTTAAGCACATAATGCAGACTTTCATCTTTAGTGTATGATACTCTGAATGCATCATTCTCTCCATCTACATGTGCTAGACTCTTAACCTTGCTTTCAACCTTAATTAGCGGTCCATATTTCTGTTGTTTTAAAATATCTTACCCTCCTTATGTCACAAGAAATACAATATATGCCACTAATTGAATTATTGTTTAAAATGAAGTAAACACAAACATATATATTCGTACCGAAACTAGCATATAGATTCCTATTGAAACTAACTTATAGACTTAACATAATTTAAATGGAGCAATGATTGCGGAATTTTAATTAATTCAATTGGAGTTTTGGTTCCTTAACGAAAAACTCGTGAGTATTATATATCCTTAAAGGTCTTTTTGGGTAACTTCAATGTTTCTAATATTGACCATTGCTTTGTAGTGTGACAAGGTCAAGGACCAGATTCATAAACTTTTACTTCATGAATCAGAACTCTAATTAAACTAAAGTTCAGAATGTTGGAGGCTGAAATTGAATGAATATTCTATCACTCTATATATACATACATATGTACCCAACTAAACTACTTATAGCGTTTTTGAATTCTCAGTGCACCTGAAAATCACATGCAAAGCTGTACATCTAGTTTAGCGCTTACACCTACCAAACAACACATAAAATACACAAACGCACAAATGTAAGTGCATATTCATGCAAGTCAAATTATTAATAAGTCAGTTCGTCTTACAAATTTCATGGAGGTGGGCACATCTTCCAGGTGAGTTTATATTAATTAATCAATCAATTAAGTTGATCGACACATAAAACAAATCTGGTTCCTCATGAAAGAAGAAAATAAAGTCGTCCTGTTCATAAAGGCAGCAGAATAATATTCTCTAATCCTATACATATGCAAGACAATTCGAGCTAGGGTTTGGTTTTATATCAAGGTCGAACAGACAACGAAACAAAGGGCAATCCAAGAAAGGACTGCTCGCATGACAAGCATCGCATGGAATCTACTCACCCATATATAAAGTTAGCATAGAGTCTCTTCCTTCAGATTCTATAAGTTGGTTAATTTATATCCATCTGGAAAGCAATAAATTGTTGTACTCAGAATACATGTAACTTATAAATTACCAAAATTAAGTAAAACACATATAGCATAACGCAGAAGATATGATAAAAAGAAGAGGAGCAAGTACCTTTGATCTGGGCAGAGAGCATATGTGGTAGCTCAGCCTGGTTTTGTCATAAGCATCGGAGGCTCAATTTATAGAGACCTGATGTATATATTAATTGATCATTATATAAAATAAAATTAAAAAAAAAATATCTGAGTGAGGAGGGGTTGAAGCGTGTGAAAGTGGGAACATATGTGATCGAACTACATTTGACACGTGAGAGAGGGGGTTTGACTTTGACTCACGGGTGACACATGAGGAGATTAGGGAATTGAATGGTGCATGTCATGTGCCTCTCATCCTTAACAACCTCTCCTCTAGCTCCTCTGTCGATAGAGATATTTTTATGTGTACTGAGAACATTGAAACGTAATGTTATAGTTCTACTTTCTTTGAAGGTAAAATATTTCATTAATCAAATAAAGCAAAAACCATTATCGATCAAGACCATAGTATTAATATAATTACAAACGTAATAGAAAAACAATACAAAACTTACTAAATAACGGTACATTCACTATTTTTCAAAATATGTAGAAGTGAGAGATATGTACAACTATCCCATGTACTCATTTTATAACACAAAAAATATGATGTACACAAATTGTTTCTCTTTCTTTTCATTTGATCTTAATTTTTCCTTCTTTAAGTTAATCTTACTTGTTTTTGGCCTACTGTTATACCTTCTATCGATTGTTGTTGATCGGCCAGAAGCACTGGTCAGCACCTTCCTTAAAGTACATGCTGGAGAAGCTAGTGGAATTACGTAATCATCACCCAACACAGAGAGAGAGAGAGAGAGAGAGATAGCATTAGTAAGAAAAGAAAACAAGACGACAATGAGGGAGGTTAGCTGTGCTCGTGTGATTCTGAAATGTTGATAGAATCATAGGGTCGAATACTTGATGTTCTTGTCCAACCGCTCACATGATTTTATTTCTTATCTACCAATTACCCAAAACCCTTCCGTGCTCTCTCTCTCTCTCTCTCTCTCTCTCTCTATTTATATTCTCTGAATTTATTTGTTTTTATTCAGCTAAGTGGGTTTTCCGTTTTGAGCTACCTCGCCAATTGCCACATTATGTCATTAGACACCGACGCATGCCGATCATATTGGCCAGTACCTTTTCGATATCTTATGTCGATATATAGGAGAAGGACTCAACAGTTTCACAAAATTTACCAAACGATCTCTGATGTCCTAGGTTAAAACTCAACCTCGTCACCTCCTTTAATTAAACAATCGAAAAAACTGCAGTGCATCGTCTTCACATGCAATATTGCATGCGTGCAACTTGCTGGTATACACTGTACATACATACATCCAACATCCGATTTACAAACTCTGGTTCTTATATCATAGACACAAAAAATAAAAAAAGGATTATAAATTGTCAAGACGACTGCATAATCAAAGAACTACATTGATTTAGTTTTATTGCGATACAAGAAGTGTATTTATAAACACCTAATTAAATATCTGAAACAAATTAGGAAATCAATGAACATGGAAGCAGTCTATTAAACTGTAAAAGATTATAAGAAAGCAATCTTAATCCTTACTTTATCAGAAAATCCTAATACATAAAAACCAAAAGTATCTTAACATAAAAATAAACGAAGTTGTTAACTGGCTAACTTTTTCAAGACATACAAAGTTGTCGATTCATTTTTCATGCGGCATATGGGGAAAAAATAAATATCAACAAAAGTTTAGTTGAGAATGACTGAAATTATAACAAATAATATGAAGCAAAATGGATCATATCACTCAACTAGGTAATTTAACGTGTGTGTAATAATGCTAGTAATAGATTTAACTTTTTATACAAAATTTGCAAATAATATGATATGTCGTTAATAAGAAATAAGCACATTAATTACACTTAAGTAATAATCCAATCATAAAAAATCATGTCATATGATTTACAAATTTAGTCTAAATTAAGGTCTTCCTATTATTACCCTTTAACGTATATATAGAATAAATGAAGCAAAATGAGTGTTAATTGTCTTTATTGTTTATTAGGGATAATTATATAAGCTAATCATGACAAAGTATATAGAAAAAGAAAAATGGGAAGCTATTAATGCAGCCTGCCTAGCTACCAGCTGCTTTATAAGGACTGAGAAGTCAATCGCGGCAAGAAATTAAGCTAAAGAATGTGCGGAGGACGACATGAGCATGTGTAATCTGTGTAATCTTTCCTGAGAGGCTGAGATCAAAAGGAGAAAACTAACGGTAGAGGTAAACTTCAACCAACATAATTAACCAATTGTCGATAATCACTATCTAGCTAGCTAGCATGTCCAAGGGTAGTTTTAAAATTTTAATGGGGCCTACATTAGTTAATTATTATCTATTTAAGCTAACATTGGAGCCTATGTTATTTAGTTAATATAGTAAGCATATATTTAGGGATGATGATTTTGATTATCAATACATCATCTATATAAGCATATATTTAGGGATGATGATTTTGATTATCAATACATCATCTATATATATATATATATATCAGATCCTTTAACAAGAAGGATCGCCATTTAAAAAAAAAAATGGAGACACCCTCTTGACCGTTAGATTGGTTTTAATGAAATTGTGTTGTTGAGATTAAATCACAGGCCGCACACTTTTCATTAAAGTCAATCTAACGGTCAAGAGGGTTTCTCCAATTTTTTTTTTAAATGGGGATCCCTCTTGTTAAAGGATCCTATATATATATATATATATATATATATATATATATATATATATATATATATATTACTTAGGGTCCCACGGTTAATTTTATTCAAGGGATACATAAACATGTCGTTTGATGGAGATAATTGGTTTGGATATGATTACGCACTATATTAAAGACATTTTGAAGGGAAAAATGAATGATAACTTTCCTATTTTGTTCAAGTTGAAGATTACTCATAAAGAAAAGTTGTCCCTTTTGATCCTACCATTTTAATGGAGACTAGTAGGGATATCTTTTCTTCATGGGTGACCTTCACCTTAGACAAAATAGGAATTTCTCATCTATTTCTTCCTTCAAAATGCCTTCAATGTAGTGTATAGTCCTATCCAAATTAGTCATTCCTTTCAAATGAGGCCTAAAGGGTTGGTGTAGTGGAAAATAAGCATAATTTTGGAACCTTTAATCCAAGTTCGAATTCTCACGTATGCATTTCTTGTGGCCACGGACACCGCTTTGGCGTACCATTTTACTTGAGCAACAAAAATATGCAACCACCGATCGTATAATACTGAGACTACATGAGATGGAAATTAATTTATCATAAATGTGGGGTACGATAAAGAATAATAATATCAATTAAATTAGGTCATAAAGTATAAGAGTCAATTAAATTAGTCAATTTAAGCTCAAAGTTGAAATGTTCAACTAATACCTCAAAGTTGAAAAGTTCAACTAATACGTTCAAAAGTTCAACAATAACAACATTCACCGGTATAAGGCTATATCCGAGATCCTGAGTTCGATTCATGCCTTGCCATAATCATATGTACATAAAAATAAAACACAAACACTAAAAAATGAATAAAAATTACACAAAATTTGATTGATCAGATTAATTTAAAGAAATTATGGTCACTGCATTTCCAAAATTCACGAAAGATTTGTGGCCTACCTAAATCAAAATTTTCCGTAAAATTTATCTATTGGATGTATATAATATGAATAGAGTAATAATGATAGAAATATCACAAATTTGTACCATATTATTATATCACATGATGTGGCAACAACCATTATCCAATTAAATAAATTTATTAATTAATGCAGAATGTACACATTATGTACATATCACTTATCACATCATATCGTATACTAATATGATACATATATGTGGTCTCCTTAAATATGTTATAGCAATGCACCACCCCCGTCCCCATAATATAAAAAAGTTCAAAGAATTAATGGATTTGAAACTAAAATTTCAACAACTACCCCACCTGAATTCTTTTGATGGTTTCTATATTTTGTAAATATGTAAGTGGGACCCAAACATCAAGGTTATACGTTGGAAACTGCATATCCTGCTCCTGCTTCTCGCGTCAAAAGTATCATTGTTCATATTACTAGCTAATTAGGGTTTATCACGTCCACAACGTCGTGTAATTTGTTTGGTGCGTGTTGAAGCTTGAAACTGTACCAACCCCCAAATGAACACAACCCCACCAACTACCACATATTGTCCTCAACCAACTACTTTTAACTTGGTGTGTGTGTGTGTGTGTGTGTGTGTGTATGTGTGTTTGTTGGGTCTCTGTACATACATTTCCAGAAAGTTTTTGCGTCCCTTTCCCAGCAATGGTAATTTTACTGCTTCAGATCAGAACCGTAGGTTTGTATCAACTTCTGAAACTCATATTTATATTTGTCCTCACTCCACAACCTAATTATCTTGCAAATCACGTAAAGGAATAGTCAGTGAACAGTTGATATCACCTTACAAATATATTGGATTCTGTTGTTACTGAAAGATGCTACAAAGTATTGGTAAAACTTGAAGGAAGGTTTTATTTCAAAATTAGTTGATAATATGTTGAATTTCTTACAAGTACATATAATGTCTATTCTTTCTTCGAAATGAGCTTCATACTCTCTACAGGATTTCTCACAGGTTTATATCTCACAAGAAAGACTTTCATAGTACAAATCTACCATCATCATGATGTTCTGTGTCAGTAATATAAATATATCTATCAATATTTGTTCATATGACTTTATGTTAATGACATGAGATATCACAGTTATGATATATACACACATACCATGTAAGTTACTTTCTTCACCCACAACTTAGAAAATGGAAACTCTACTTGAGTTCCACTCCGTCGCATACTTAGGAATGAGCTGCAGTATGGGTAGCCCTAGAGATTTCTCAAAGATTAGAGGCATGGCAAACTTAACAAGTTAACAACTGACCTGCGATTTTATTTCGGGTAATTTTAGGGAGATTATTTTTCAACTAAAATTTTAAACTAAATGATATATCACCAATAGGAAGTAAACACGTTAATCAACACTTAAGTAATAATTTAATCATCAACAACCACATCATTTAATTTAAAATTTTTAATTCAGAAGTTTAATCTCCCTAATTTAAACATTCTATTTTAGATTATGAGCGAACCATTTACATTTTTCGTAAATATAATATTGTAGCAATAATAATAATTAAATTATTATGATAACGACATAATTGATATGTTTCACTTTTAAAATATATGTACATATATATAAATAAATAAATAAAGATGTCATAATTTGAATAACATAGTAATGTCACTAATAATAATACCTACACATTTTTTCAAAAAGAAAAATGAAAAAGACAATGCCAATAGACTAAACGGCAGACAACATGAACACAACTTTAGATTTTCCACCGTTAAAAGATAATCCCACTAACGGCTCCAATTAGTTGGGATGGGACCTTTCATTCTATTCCCAACCCCAATTAGTGCCTCGTACCTTTTGCTTGATACTTTGAAAATTGCGATTTATAGTCAGTTGGTGGTGGGCAAACCTTAAGGGCTTGTTTGATAGACTAAATGAAATCGGATCTTAGGGAGAAGATTGAATTGACAATGATTAATTAGGCTTTGAGTTCCAATTTATTATTTAATAAATCTAGAGATTTGTAAAGATAACCTGAATCTGGTATCTACTTTTTAGGTTTAGAGTTTGGTTTCATCCGAGAACGTAATGGCAGCAACAGTTTAGTTTAAATTACTTGAAATTAGGGTGTTTGTTGTTATTTGTTTTGGCAAACTTCAAGCCTAAGTTTGCGAAGGCTCCAATTGTTTCTTGGTTGTCTTTCTCATTTTGCTTGGACTTTTTACTTTATCTATTGTTGTTTTGCTGGCTCTTTTTGAGCCTTCTACTAATTTTTAATGGAAAGTGATCATTTCCGGATCTTTTCCTCTTAATCTACTAAGTTGGGGATCCAGACCATTAAAATATGATCAAACAACTAAAGTTATTATTAAAGTTGGTCTCTATTTGTAGCCGTTGAATCTCCGAATTTTCAAACCCGATAGATTATGAATAAGGGATCCGGAAAGGACCCTTCCATTTTGGTTGGTAAAAGCATAGCAGTTTTTTAAGTCGTCAGCAATGACCATACGAACATCTCTCTCATCTCTCTCTTGGGACATGGGATAGCTAGCAAATCTTGATAGGCAGGCTGCAGGTATCGGCCCACATCTTGGTAGATATTTTACCCTTCAACATCTCTCTCCTGTCTCTCGGTGGGCAGGCGTCGACCCACATCTCTCGCGAGTCGGGACTCGCCGCGCCGACCTGACCTCACTGATCTCGACGACTTGACGGCACTGCTCGCGAAGAATTGATGTCATTCGACGCCGCTGCTCACAACGAATAGACAGCAATCAACGACACTGCTCGCGACGACCCAACAACATAGCTCTCAGCGAGATTTGGATGCCCGAAAATGGTTGCTGAAACGAAGAAGAAAGCCGCCCAAAACGAAAAAGATGAACACCGGCAAATCGAAAAGAAGATCACACACAATAAAGAAGAAAATTGCAAATCGAGGCTTGACAGAGAAAGTGGAGGATATATTGGTCATTTTATTAGTTGATTAGAATGGGCCAAGTCATTTCCGAAATGTCAAACACGAGCCCATTCTTGTTCTAATAGAATGGGCCGGATTGTGATTAGTTAGGAATTTTTGGGCTGGATCAAGTTTGCCAGACCAGATAAACAACGAGATATTGGGATTGGGACTCGCAGAATGCACCCAAAGACACCCAATTTAGGTTCTTTATTTAGCTAAAGCTGGCATATAATAGGAAAGGATACATCGATATCGGTATTAGTGGAAAAGTCGACATGCAAATTTATGGAAAATATCGATATCGATTGTCTTCGATGGAAATTTGATGAAAAACTTGAAATTTAAAATGAAACTTTAGAAATGTCATATGATAGTTTGTTAATATTTAACCGATATATCGGAATATCAACAAAGTCTGTTGATTTTAGCCGAAATTTAAGAGTTTCTCCGATATGAGGTGAAGTTTAGACTTCATCTCATTTCCATATCTTTTTCTTATTTTTCCAAAATATATATGATATCGAAGAAATTTCAAACATTGACGGTATGTGTGCCTATTTTTTTTATTTATTTTTATTTTTATCAAGTACATATGCTTAGTATACAGATTGAGAGAGTGGATATGAGCTTCCAAGAAGTCAAACTATAGGAAGAAATTAAACAAGGTGCTCGAAATCTTTCCTGTATTTTCTATATGGAAATACAACAACCTTCTGGGAACATCATGTTCTAATCCAACTCTGCACATATCGACACTAATTTCCCAGATAAGGAAATAAAAAAATGAGGAAAAAAAGTAACTGTGCATTGAGTTATCAATCTTCTAAAGTCATGAAAACAAATATTAAAAGAAAATAAGAGAAGTCCCCTTTCTGCTTCTGCTTCTGCTAGGGTTAACTTATATTATGGGCAGATGACATAATCATCGTGATTATAAGAGAGCTCGGTGTGCCGGAAGGGGCTGAGCTTGTTATGGCATGGCGACGGTCCAGAAGGAGGCACCGGCCCTCTCGGAAGCATGCCTTGAACCGATCTTCTAAACTCATCGACTTTAACTTCTTTCAAAACTCTGCTGCAGCTTCCCATTGACGCCATTCCCAAAAGCAGAAGCAGAAAAATAAGATAAGTGATTAACAAGCTCTTTGGAGGAGACGACATTATGATCAGCATGCTCATTCCTATACCCTTTTTATTATATATAGAAAGAATTAATTATAGTGGGATGATGAGAGAGGTTGAGTGCCGTATGTATTGGACTAAGACTGTTAGAATTTTTGACCTAAGGAATTAAAAAACCCCTAATAGGACTATTTGAATGTTTTTAACTTTTGTAATTGATAGAGTTTCCACGCCAGGGCGAGCATTGGAGCAACGGAAAAGTTGCTCTTTTGTGACCAAAATGTCACGGGTTTAAGTTGTAGAAACATCCACTTTGCAAAGCAAGAATAATGTACGATAGACGTTCTTCCACCAACCCTCATAAAGTAGGAAGTCTTTTTGGCTTGAGATTGCCTTTGTAGAGTTTCAACGCCAATGAAAAGAGGGTGCTCTCAACTGTTGAACTGTTTTTTTTTTTTTTTGTCAAACTGTTGAATTGTTTATGTGCTGTTTTTGAATGCCGTTGCCGTGGATGATTATGATTGTCAATAAGTTGAACAAACGCTTACGATAGCAGCCATTTTGGAAAAATCACATAGTAAATTAGCGAATATTCAAGTTTAAATTGTAACACCATCATTTTGTATTCAAACGAAAACTTATCTCTATAAATATGATTGTCATACGCCTCATGATGTTTATAAATTCAATGCGTATTTATTTGTCAATACTATTCAAGTTTATGACATATTCCATTATCATTGTATTCATTTTAGTAACACCATGTGACTTCTTAACGATCACGATAAATATTTTATCCTTTGCTTCTAAGGCACGAATGTGAAATGAAACGGGGCACTACAAGATTAAAAAATGCTCTTCAATTATAATAGTATTGAAATTCTTTGAAATGTGTTTGACTTGATATGCTTTGTATAGACAAAAACATAACCAACTTTAAGTATGGAGACATTTCTCAATGTACCAAGAACATGATCCGTCATATCATGTCATAATATAAATAGTTGATTTTTTTTTTTCAAGTATCTAACTACTTGCATTATGACGTTTGGTATATCAAATAGTGTTACTGACAAACTGAAAAATCTCTCCTACGTATGAGTTTATATGAAAACAGCTCCTAGTCTCCTACCTAATTTTGTTCATGTGTTGTATTGGGAACGTGGTGTAGTTTGGTCTATATCTATATATAAAACGTGGCAATTAGATGTATGATGCAAAGTTGCAAACTATGAATGACTTCTTTGGCAGGTTTCCAAGAAAGTGCCTACTAATTAACCATGTCATCATTCGGTATTGCTATTTTTTGCCAAAAAAAGTATTTCTGAGAAATCGCTACCATCCATGAATTAGACAAAAATTAGAGAGATCTGATATAAATATGGTCAATTAAGCGGGACATTAACTAATTTAAACCATGTGTCTGGTGCAGTGCAGCCTACCAGTTTTGTTTATGGATCAAATGCCCTTCTCAAAACCCCTTGCCATTTTATCATTCTCAAACTGTCAAAGAGTTCCTCGGTGGGATTTGGGGTAAGAGTAATGTTAGGGAAGCTTAATTTGGAGATTAAATTTTAGAAATTAAAGGACATGGAAGTTAATGATTGGTTTATTAGTTAAGCGTTGATAGACGTGCTTATTTTTATTGGTGATACATTATTTAATTTACAATTTAGTCTCTAAATTGAGTCTCCCTAGCATTACTCCTTGGGGTAAACATTTCAAGCTTTTTTTCTTACGTACAACTGAAGACACCACTGATTAAAATGGAAAAAAAATATAAAGACATGCATGGCCACTGGGATACTCTTTAGTGACGGCCGTGAACGGACCTGGGTTTTATGAGTTCGTATAGTTTCTCTCTCCAAAATTCGTGCAACTCTTACTCTGTAACTGGTTTGATTCTCCGCCCTCCTCCCCTCTGCTTCCGCCTTCGATCTTCAGTCAGGTAAAATCCAATTTCCTCCACCCCACCATACTTTCGTTACTCTTTTATTCCTTTTCTCGTTTTGCGAATGTTTCTCGTGCGCAAATTAAAGGAGCCCATTACTCAATTTGCTGTGTTTTCATGATTTTTATCAATTTTTTCTTTAAAGTTTGTAGCTCTAGTTCATGCTTCACTGTCGAATTATATGATGTGTGTTGTTTAAATTTTATAATTCAGGGCAATTATCAGTGGCAGCAGTAATTTGTTGGTCGTGGGTTGTCTGTTTATCTGTTTCAGTTCAACAATATTGTCATTCATGGTTACTCCATTTGTTTAGTGTTGTAGTAGATTTCATTGTGTGTCTGTTCTTATTAAGTGAAAGTTAATAGAACATGCTTTTGACAAATTTTCCCATAGCGATGTCAACTACGACTAGTCTAGTCTCTATCTAATGGTCATTAACTCCATGATGAGAATGTGCTGAATAATGTATTCCTAAATCCTTTGTCATGCTCATGACGCGCGCAAAAGTAACTTCGTTCCTCACATTAATGTGTATTAATATGACAAATTTTGTTGGCTGTGTAATAAGACATCTTTTGTTGGCTGAGTAAAGGAACGATTTTTTATATCCGTGTTTCCCACAGGCAATGGCAGATCTTGCAAGCCCTGCATGTAATTTAGAGACGAGAAAAACTGCTCCGGGTTTACGTTTGGTGGACTGTGGACAAGTGGGCGATGTAGATCCTTGCTTCTTCTACAAACCACACTGATACACACACACACACACACACACACACACACACACACACACACACACACACATGTGTAAGATTAATATAAATAAAGTCAGCGGAATAGAATAATCACAGTACCAAAAGTAACCACTAACCTGAAGAAGACATCTCTTGGAAACTAGGGATCTTCTGCAGCTCTCCTCAACTGGATGCAATCGCTCAATGAATGGGATTTGAGTATTCTTTTGTTTGCGTGATTGAGTGAGCGCAGGGACCCTTGTTTTTATACCGTATATGATGATGATTGATAAGGACTCTTCCCATTATGCAATCCTAATCAATCTAACCTTATCACCGACAAAACCTCTTATTCACATCCATTATAAGTGTTTCAACACTATCGTGACTGTTTTTGCTAAGACCCCTATTATACAAAATCCTTATCAGCTTACAACCTTAGTTAATTCCAATATCTTATATCCTCACGTGTCTCCAAACCAAAGATAATCAAGTGTTCAGCTCTCATTAGAACTTACATTCTCCCACTAGAGCTAACACTTGATTCAACGATAGCTGGCCTTATATGAAGCTATTCTTAAATGGCCACGAGATCAGCACCAACCTGAATCACGAATACAAGTTCAGGTCATTAATTAGTATTCATGAAGAACTAAAGGGTAACATGTTCAATTTGTCTAACAATATCCCCATAATTACATTCACAAAACTAACTAACACATTGAACTCCCACAAGATGCAAAATTTGTGTAAAATGTGTCTGTAGATGTATAGTTTGTCACATCCTGCACTTGGTCCCCTTAAGAATCGATAGATCAATTCATTTTAATGTTTCATATTGAAACCCTTTGGTTGTTTGTCCTACTGACAATCATAATATTGTCAAAACCATTATGCATAATAAAATATACACATATTGTCATAACTAAAGCTGTGCATCTAGAGGGAAAACTTTGAAACAACCTCACAGCTTTAAGACTTCAGTAGTGGGGAAACCTTATCAATGAAGAAAACTTTATTAATACTTACTCATAAATACCAGTCATGTGAACTAGTGACTGATAACAAAACACGTTCGAAAATTTACTTGCTTCCACTAATTAACATCATCAAAACTAGCTAACAGACCCATCTTTGCAACTTGCTTCTTGAAAACCACAACTGGAACTGCTTTTTTTAAAGGATCTGCAATCATAGAACCAGTCTCCAAGTAATCAATCTTCACCAAACTTGCCATTACTTTCTCTCGAGCAATCAAATATTTGATATCTAAATTCCTTGTTGCAGACGATCTTTTATTGTTCTTGCTGAAGAAAATAGCTGCATTATTATCACAATAAATTTGAATTGGTCTCGAAATAGAATCCACTACACTAAGTCCTGCAATGAAAATTTTCAACCATATTGCTTGATTGACAGTTTCACAACATGAGAGATATTCAGCCACCATGGTAGAGGCTGCCACTGTTGCCTGCTTCACACTTCTCCACAAAACTGCACCACATGCCATAGTGAAAACATAACCCGAAGTAGACTTAAGGTCATCTGGACATCCGGCAAAATCTGAATCATTATACCCTTCTAACACAAGCTCATCAGTTTTCCTGTAAATAAGCATATATTCCTTGGTTCTTTGAAGGTACCTCAATACCCTCTTGGTTGCATTCTAGTGAGCCTCCCCTGTGTCTGATTGAAACCTCCCAAGAACACTGATAGTGAAAGCAAGATCAGGTCTTGTGCATACATGTGCACACCTGTGCATACATCAAGCTTCCAATAAGAGAGGCATATGGTTTGCCTTCCAGGTTTCTTCTTTCCAACTCACTCTTGGGACACTGCTCTTTGCTTAATTTGTCACCTTTTGAAATTGGCATTTTAGTAGTGCCACAAGAAGCCATGTTGAACCTTTTTAAAACCTTGTCGATGTAGCCCTTTTGTGATAACCCCAACAATCCATTCTTCCTATCTCTTTTAATTTCAATACCAAGAACATACGAAGCTTCTCCAAGATCTTTCATTTCAAAGTTTTGTTGCAACAATTTCTTGGTTTCATCCAATAAGCTAGCTGTGTTTATTGCAAGTAGTATGTCATCCACATAAAGGACCAATATTATAAAGCTACTCCCACTGGTCCTCAAGTATATGCAGTTATCCGAAGGATTCTCAACAAAGCCATTCTCTTTAACAACTCTATGAAATTTGAGATACCATTGTCTCGATGCCTGTTTTAACCCATATATTGACTTTTTCAATCTACAAACTGAATTTTCATTCCCTTCTTCTACAAATCCCTCTGGTTGCTTCATGTAGATGCATTCTTCCAAGTCACCATTTAAGAATGCCGTCTTGACATCCATTTGGTGCAAGATTAGATCAAAATGTGCAACGATAGCCATAATAA